AACACTAGCCGAAAATCGATGTCATCGGACGTGGCTGGCTGGCTGGCTGGTTGTGTCTGTGGCTCGGGACGAATTTAGAAGCACTTTTCTTCCTAGCAGCCACGACGCGATCTTACGTAATCCACGAGCGACGAAATCTAACGACGAAACCTAAACAAAGTTGCGAACCACGAACGGCTACTTCCGAAGTGGGACGATGGAAATATTTTTGGGATAATCCGACGATTTCGTCGATCATCACGGAGCGAAATCGGAAGCTTTTTTTTTTTTCGATTCAGCGAGACGAATCGAAGAGGAGGGAGAGATGATCCTCGTTTGAGAGATCGTTTGTGTAGAATTATGTACAACGTACCGAACGATTTTCTCTACCTGCTTGAGCAACAGTTAACAACAGATAGGTAGAGAAAGAGAAAAAGATAGATAGATAGAGAGAATGGTAGAAAATGAAACGAAAAAAGAAAAGAAAAGAAAAGAAACGTAACGTGAATGAACTCAAAAGCCAGCCAAGTGCCAAACAGAGTAACACTCGTCGATTGCTCGCTAGCAACGTACTGGAAATTCCGACAAGTAGCGCCAGTCCAACAATTCGCGGCTTATCGTATGCATCACCCGAGACACCCGTTCGTGACACCCTTGCAACCCCCGAGACACGATCGATCTTGGTCGAGACTTGGTCGAAGATATTTCGGTCGAGAAAAAAAAAAAAAAGAACGAGTATTTCAAGAAAAAGAAGAAGAAGAAGAAGAAAGAGGAAAAAAGAGAACGACCTCGAGAAAGCTCCGTCCACGCGTCCGTTGTCGAGCGACTTATATACCCAGGGTACACATCTTTCTCGCGGCTTTCGTTCGGATAGCACACAACACGTGACCTCGCGCCACGTGGAGTGAAGNCCCACGGTGCGCGTCCACGGTGGTTCGCGCCACTGTCAGTCGCGATCGAACCATCGCGACGCACGGTCCATCACCCGTACGATATCTCACCAAATCCTTCGAAGGGATGGAGGATAAATGGAAAACGGAGGCGTCCATTTTGATCAACCATTCGAAGAACGCCTCGAAGAAACGCGATCGTGAAAGGGTGGTCAGAATCGGGGTGAGGACGTTCTTCTGCAAAACGTGGGAACACGATAAGTCGAAGAAAAAGAAGAAACAGAAGAAGAAGAAGAAGAAGAAGAATTTGACGGAAGGGGGGGAGATAAAGAGAGAAAAGGTCTCGCGGTATCGG